CTGGGGACCATCTCCAGCAGACCAGGGACACCGGGAGCAAAGGAGGCGGAGGGGCGCTGGGGTATAAGATGAAACCCTATCTTTTAATTAAAAAGATAGGGGGTCGTCTTATACACCCAGTCGCCCTATACGCCGGAAAATACGGTATATTGTGTATATGGAGAAACTTTTACATTTTGAATATTTTTCTTCCTGTCAGCTTACAATCCATCTCCAGCAGACCAGGGACACCGGGAGCAAAGGAGGCGGAGGGGCGCTGGGGTATAAGATGAAACCCTATCTTTTAATTAAAAAGATAGGGGGTCGTCTTATACACCCAGTCGCCCTATACGCCGGAAAATACGGTATATTGTGTATATGGAGAAACTTTTACATTTTGAATATTTTTCTTCCTGTCAGCTTACAATGTACCTTGCCTGCTTTATAAATTCCAACAAACTGATTTAAACTCCTCTACACTACTAAAAAAATCTTCCTACAATTACATATTCTGAAACATTGCTTATGATGTCTAAATGTTAATTTTCAAGATTTTCAAATCTGAATTGGGAAAGTAAAATTTATTTAATTAGTTAACCTTTTAAATGTTATGTTAAATTAGTTAACTGATTAAATGGGGGTGAGTCACAGGTCTGCTCCTCCACCCATCCATGGCGAAGCTGGAGTGGCCCCCACGCCGTGGGCAGGGTCTTCTTCAGCCTAGCTGCTTCCAACTCTCTCACCACTCCTCACTTCCCCACAGCTGCCACTTCCAGAGCCGATGTTTTCCAGTAAGCAGCACCCATTAAGGAGAATGCTTAACAGGTAACACCTCCCTACTCTGGATATCTATTTTTGCCTTTTGGCTAGTTTTGATCCCAGAAAGAGAAGAAAAATTGTCTCATTCTAATCTAACAGTTATACCTAAAAAAACAAAACAAAAAAAAACTCGTGAAGGAGGCAGCTGTGACCTGGGGCACAAGATTGGAGTGCAGGGGTTGGGGTTGTGACCTAGGGCAGGAGTGGATTGTGACCTAGAGCAGGGCACTGGGGTACAGGAGGGGGTGCACAGGTTTGGGTTGTGACCTAGGGCAGGAGGGGATTATGATCTGAAGCAGAGGATTGGGGTGCAGGTTCTGAGAGGGGGTATGGGCTCAGTGGGAGGGGGGGAAGAGGGTTTGGCTTATGTGGGATGGGGGTTATAGTGGGAGGGCAAAGGGTTGGGGGAGGGAGGAGCTAGGATGCCAGAGGCTGGCTATAACTTGGAGACTTACCTGTGAGACTCCCAGCCAACAGCCGAGCTCATTTCTCAGGTAGGAGCCTGCCCATTCCCGTCCTCCCCTCCCCTTATGCCCCAGACTGCACAGCCATGTGCTCTGTGAATAAAAGCTGAAGGGGAAGGTGGAGTGGTGTTTCCCGTGCTGCCAGTTTTTCAAACAGGCAGCTCTCACTGGGCAGAAACCAGATAATGGGATAGCGCTAGGGGTAGGAGCAGCCATGAGGCACCACCCTCCCCTCCCTCCTGGACAGTTTGTGGAGCACAAAGGGCCTCTTCCTGAGGCTCTCTGCTGCCTTTGCAGGCCAGATCCAGTCCACAGAGGGTGTATTGCCCAGGCTAATCCCACTTGTTGGGGAAAAAAGGTTAACTAACCAAAAGTTGAACATCTTGATTGACAAGAATCTTTTGGAACAGAAATCATATGTATGTGTACCTCCACTTGTATACCAGACCAAGAATGCATATGCTGGTTTACAAAGCAAAATGCATGTCAAAAGGCACAACCTTTAAGCCTCTCCCTTATCATGCAAAAGTATCACAGCTATTACATCCCCTGATTTTTCACTGTCAAAAAAAGCAAATCTACAGTGAATGAACATATAAATTAATGTCCACAGCTCCACTCTTAACAAAAAGCCTCTCAAACAAGTATTTTCACATAGCTCATGGTGTTTCACATTTTTCTGAATTAAGTAACTCAGTTAAGTAACTTGTATTTTGTAATTAGGCAAAAGTATTTATCTATGACTAAGCCCACTGGAGATCATAAAGTCTTACTCTGTTTTGTGATTGCTGTTATTGTTCTAATAAAATTAGTGGTTTAAAATATTTGACCCTTTTTTACATTGAAAATACTTGGTCAATTGATCAACCCTAACTGAGGCTATGTCTAAACTTTAGAAAGAGGGATGTAAATTAGGCAGATTGAATGTGCAAATGAAACAGGGATTAAAATATCCCACGCTTCATTTGCATAATTGCATCACAGTGTTCTGTCAAAAAAGGGTATTTCGAAAGAGAAACTGCGGTCTAGACGCGGTTCTTTTTGGAACCCCCTCCCCCCCACACACCTTTTTCGCAAGATCCTGTACTCTTCAAAAAATTAGGCACTTTTGATCTGCCTAATTTACATCCCTCTTTCGAAAGAGGCATGTAGTTTAGACATGCCCTGAGAGTGTGAACAAGCATCATTTCCCCATAACTCTCTGGAATCTTCCTGAAAGAAACATGTCCAGCCAGGTTAAAGTAAATGAATTACCACAGCTATGCCTTGCAGCTAAGTCAGCTGATCAAATAGCTGCTGACAGATCTTGTACAGGGGGTTCATATCCTGAGAGATCCATATTGCTAAACAGGAGGAGGACTGCAGTGTGGAAAATCCAAGAACCAACAATTTGGTAGTAACAAGTAGGGATGTTAGATATAGTTTATTTTAGTAACTGTGTAGCTGCAACAATTTTTAGCAGTTACACAGTTACTAAAATGCTCTCTCGGGGTGGGACAGCAGCTAGTGCACTCCCAGCCCCACTCCCGGGGAGCCCCCTGCCATCCCATACTGCTGTCTCTATATCACAGGCAGCAGCACAACTAAGGAGGTTAACTAGCGGTTAATTTACTAGTCAAGTAGTCAATGGAATTTCCTGCGGGGGGCTCTTGTACATTTCAAAGGAGGAATGCAGAACTCTGCGTGCAGCCCGGGGCTAGCGGGAAGTTCCGCTGACTCCGGGCTGCACATGGGTGCCAGCTTTGAAACGTACAAGAGTCCCCAGCTGCACTGCTGCTGTGAAATGTCATGCAGCGCCTGAGGTCAACTGGGGACTCCCAGCTGACCGTGGGTTCCATGCAGTATTTCCCCACAACCCGGGCGGCATTTAAAAGGAGCAGCACCACACAGCTGAGCCCAGGATCAGCTGTGTGGCACTGCCGCTTTGAGGTACCCCCTCCTCACTGCCTCTATCTGACAGAGACAACAATGGGGCAGGGGAGAGGAAATTAACTAGTCGACTAGTTTACTAGTCCTTAGCATCCTTAAGCATGTGGCAGATGGAGTTGGTACACGAAGGGAGCCAGTTTAAAAATCAGCTCCCTGTGCAGACGGCTCCCACCTGCCACTTGTGCTGCTGCCAAACTCCCTGTGGACAGAAGCTGCTCCAGCATCCCACAGAGCAATCTCTGTTGGCAGCAAGCCCAGGCCACTGTAGATGGGGCTGTACCAGGATCCATGTATCAGAGGCAGCAGCATGGGGTAGAATGGCTCTGTGGAGCCAGTACTCATAGGGAGCCAGTACTCACAGGGAGCCAACTTAAAAGCTCAGCTCTTCACGAGCACCACCACCTGCCTGTACCAACCCTCCCTGCCTCTGTGGGCGGGAGGCCAAGTGGCTCCACAGGAACCAGTACACGCAAGGAGCCAGCACCCCATGGGCACCAGCTCCCGTCTCTCCCTTCCCTGCTGCCTCTGATACAGAGGCAGCAACAGGGGCTGAGGGTGTAGTCATTTGGATTAACCAATAAACCCAGATTTATTGGTTAATTGTTTAAACATCCCTAGTACCAAGAAGCACAACCTGACCAGTAGACAGACACTTACTGCTCTCTGTCTGAAAATAGCATGCATTCTGGTGGTCACCTATCTCTGGGACACAAGGCTCGCTGATTCAGCATTGACACCCTGCACAGAACTATGAATTAGAAAATATCAGAAAAATATTGAGTCTGATTTTGCAAGTTTTAGCTCAGGGCTTGGCAAAATGGGGCTGGATTTGGCCAGCCTAATCCTTTGATACAGCCCACGGACTGCATCTGGCCATTTTCTATTTATATTCTGGTGCCCATGCACCAAATTTCCAGGTGGTGGCTCAGGCAATAAGATCATATTTAAATAGTTCCTGGTTCCAGTGCTATTCTGGCAGGGGCCGAAGCTGAAATTCCTTTAAATAGCTGCAGCAACCCCAGGAGGGTGCCAGGCAATGCGGTAGCAGTGGGACCGGGAGCCACAAGCTTATTTTTAATTCTAAGCCTCCACTCCCAGACAACTCTAGGGGGAGGCTGAAGTAGCCCGTCTAAGGCAGACCTCACAGGGCTGGAGTAGCTTCCTACCAGCAGTGGGCAGCAGTTCTAGCCCATTGGTTAACTGTATCCAGTAAGCATCACAGGTAAGGGTGATGCTTACAGTAGGGATGCAATAGTGTTGTCGATTAACTGATAAGCAAAAGCTTATGGGTTACTGCTATAGACTACACACATTTCTACCCAACCTCCTCCAGCCACAAAAATTTTCAGCAGACTGGCCAGCAGCCCTGCTCAGTCCCAGCTTGCGCTAGGATCTACTCCTGCTGCGGCTCTGCATTTAAAGCGTATTAGCAGCCAGACGAGCAGGCAGCCCAGCTCAGTTCTGGCCTGCACGGGGTCCAGGAACTCAGACCCACCTCAGACAGGGGCTTCTGCCACCCCAAGCTACTGCTTCCGACACAGAGGCAGCAGCACGGGGTGACAAGTAGCTGGCTTTCAATGGGAGCTGATTTTTAAATTGGCTCCCCTTGTGGACCAGCTCCTGCCTGGCACCCCAGGCAGAGGGCTCCTCAGCAGTGGGGGTCTGAGAGCACTGGCTACTGGCGCCACCCCTGAGTACTATAGACTAGTCAAGTGACTGATAAAAAAATCATGAGGTTAATCTACTATTCAATTAACTGTTAGCATCCATAATCTTTAGTAAGAACCACGCACACAACACATGCCGCCATTTACTTTGTTCATATTCACAGAGAAAGGAAGAAACAATAAAATCCACACAATAATTAGAAGTGAGTTTTGAAACGTTTCATTTGGAAACTCAGCCAGAAATTGTCAAGCTATCACCATGGTTTTTTATCACACTTTTACTTTCATCGGGAAAAAGAGCAAGTCTCCATCAGTTCTCTTTCACCAATGATGCAAGGACACAGGGTGCCAGGAGGGTCTCTGAGGATGTGTTTGCATAGCAAAATTATTTCAGAATAACGGCTGTTATTCTAAAACAACTATGTGCACTTCTAAACAGTAATTCCGTTATGTCAAAATAATTTCGAAATAGACAGCTTATCCCCCACTTCTGTAAACCTCATTCTAGGAAGAACACCTGTTCTGAAATAGCTATTTCGAAATAAGGCATGTGTAGATGCTCCAAGTCTGCTACAGGCAGTCCCCGCCCGGGTTACGTACAAGATAGGGACTGTAAGTTTGTTCTTAAGTTGAATTTGTATGTAAGTCAGAACTGGTACATATTGTAGGGGAAACTCCAGCCAAACATTTCTCCAGAGCTCAGTTTTATTCTCCCACACCTCACTTCCCTCAGTCCTTTATTCTCAAGCTGAGGTGTCTGCTGAGAAAAGCCGCTCTGCGTCTCCCTGGTCTGCTGGGGGGCGCGGGAGGGGGGGGAGATGGCACCAGCTTCGTGTCTCCCTGGTCTGCTGGGGGGAAGCAGCTAGTGCGGGGTTGCCTCACCCCGTTTGTAAGTAGGGATCCGATGTAAGTCGGATCCATGTAACCTGGGGACTGCCTGTATTTCGAAATAGCCCCTCACTAGGGCCATTCTAAGTTATTCTTCCTAAGGCTCTAAATGGAGATAGCTGTCTACTTTAGGGAAGCCTGTCTCTGGCTAATTTTGAGGCTTCCCTGCAGCACAGACATGCTATTTTGAAATAAACTATTCTGCAATATCTTATTCTGAAATATGCATGCAGCGTGGCCATCGCCTGACAGCGCACAAGAAGGGTGATTACACTGGTCTCTCGGGGCCTGCCCCTGCTAGGATGGGCGATGATCTTTTAAAACACGTGCTAGTGGCTAAGGCTAGCCAGGCGCTGCAAGAGCTGCTCGGCCCGGGGACTGGCGCTCACCCGGGGTCCAGACACCCCAGACTCGCTTCAACCGGCTGCCAACCAGACCGTGGCGAGTCCCTCCCCGCGCGGGCTCGCCCTGGGCATGCAACTCTGGGGCTGCTGCGAGGCGCTGCTGCGGCCGGAGGCCACGTCGGCCGGTTGGGCAGCGGCCTCGCGCAGGGCGCGAGACTCCCTTCGGCTCTCCGCACGCGCCGGCCGGCGGCTGCCTCAGGCTCAGCGTCCAGGGCTCTGCACCGAGACCCGCCCCGAACCCACCCGCGTGACCCTCCCCCCCCAGAGGAGCCGCCCCCAACGGCCGCTGCCACGTCAGCGAGGCGCGAGCCGGCCGGTTACCAGGGAGCGAAGAACATGACGAAGTGCGGGGCGCTCTGGGCGGCGTGGCGCAGCATCTCGGCGCTGTAGCGGTGCCGCGCGTGCGGATCTAGCTCGGGCTCCCGCTCCAGCTCCGCGTCGCCCCGCGCTGGGGCCGCGCACAGCAGCGCGCCGAGCAGCAGAAGCAGCCCCCGGGCCGCGCCGGGGCGGGGGGAGGCGTCGCGACAGAGAGCAGAGGCCATAGCGGCGCGGAGAGAGAAAGCGAGCGAGAGAGAAGCCGGGCCACGTCCGCAGCCCGCCCCCCTCCGCCCCGCCAGGGTGAAAGGGCGCTGGGGCGGGGCCTAGAGCACGAGAGAGTCACCCCGGCACTCGGCTCCGGGAGCCGGCGCCCCACCTCCGTGCCCCCTCCCCCCGACTCGCTCCCTGCGCGCACCTGCCCCCCTCCCCACGCTGGATGTTACTGCCCTTCCCTGTCAGGGACAGTCAAGGCGTTAGGGCTGAAGCTGCTGTGCGTCCCTGCTGCTGTTTATCACTTTTGGAATCCGCCTGTTACATCACGCAAGGACACACACCCTCTGCAGTGTCTGCGGGGGGTATTTAGAAATTCTGCTAAACCACAGCTTTACAAAAGTTCCACCTGCTAATCCCTTGAAGACAAGATGCTTATGGGAAGGAAGAGAAGTCAAGTCTGCTCCGTGGAGAAAAATTAGCTTTAGATCCTGAAAGAAATCTGTGAACAAGTGCTTAGATTCCTTTTCATAATTGTGTATTCAGTGATGGTAAGACGAGAGCCAATTATAGCCATTGGGAAGGCCATAGGAGGATCCTAGTTGTAGGGATTGGTGCAGGATATGGCAACATAAACAGCAAAGCAAGTCTATGAGCGCACCTCAACGTATTCAGGTGCACGTTAACACGGTAGAAATAGCTGTGTAAACGTTGAGGCTATGTCTACACTAGCATGATTATCCGGAAATGCTTTTAACGGAAAAGTTTTCTGTTAAAACCATTTTCGGAAAAGCGTGTCTAGATTGGCAGGACGCTTTTCCAGAAAAGCATCCGTGGCCAATCTAGATGCGCTTTTCCACAAAAAAGCCCCAATCATCATTTTCGCGATCAGGGCTTTTTTGCGGAAAACACTACTGTGCTGTCTACACTGGCCCTTTTCTGGAACAGTTTTCCGGAAAAAGACTTTTGCCCGAACGGGAGCAGCATAGTTTTTCCGGAAAAGCACTGATGATTTTACATCAGAAAAGCATCCGTGGCCAATCTAGATGCGCTTTTCCACAAAAAAGCCCCAATCATCATTTTCGCGATCAGGGCTTTTTTGCGGAAAACACTACTGTGCTGTCTACACTGGCCCTTTTCTGGAACAGTTTTCCGGAAAAAGACTTTTGCCCGAACGGGAGCAGCATAGTTTTTCCGGAAAAGCACTGATGATTTTACATAAGATCGTCAGTGCCTTTCCAGAAATTCAAGCGGCCAGTGTAGACAGCTGGCAAGTTTTTCCAGAAAAGC